TGAGGAAGCTTCACCGCCAGCAGTCCCTGGGTGAGTTGTTCCGTCTCCATCCTCGGTCGATGCTGCATTGCGCAAGATGTTCCCTGGGATTAGCTAAAGTAGCAGTACGCTACTTTCGTTGTCACGGACGAGATCCAATTGCCGGACATAAAAGCTGGCACTCTCGCAGGAGCTCGTCATGGGATGCTGGTCTGCCCAAAAGAATCTGGCGTTAGCAGTTTGTCATGGGCTTGGACTTTGCAGTTTTTCATGGGCTAGGTTAAAATTAGTGGCGGAGCTGCTCGATGCCCAATTTAAGCAACATACCCCAACTTCAGCCCAACGAAGAAGCTAAGTGTCTAAAACTCCTCCCATTTATTAATATTCAAAAATAAATGTGATTAAAGTTTCAAAAAAATGAAATATTTAAATAATATAGCATCAAACTTCAATCTCGAGGGGCGAGTCATCCGTTAAAAGACCCGTAAATGCGCATGTCTGACTGACGTGCACTTGTCGTGAGGTGCACTCAAAATAATTTATCAATACAACACTAATATGTAGTATAGCGAAGTAAGGTTCGTATCCACAGGGAAAGGAATACTTTTCTTCTATATAAATAGTAACAAGGGGGGTTTTAAGTTTGATTTGATTTAATTCAATTAACACTAAGATAAACAACCTATATGAGTTTGATTAATAGATGTGGTATGGCTTGGTTTTGCTTTTATGCGCTTAATGAAATGTTCGTCGATCCCGATTATATCTTTAACTATCTTCCTCTCTAATACTCAATCGAGGGGTATATCCAGTTCATCGAGGGTAGTTATTAATAACGAGATGCGTTTATTAATAAAACTTACAATCGAGTCAATATAGAACAAGCACCGTATATTAACTTGATAGTAGCAATAAACTTAAGATGAAAAACGATTGAGATTGATAACCTCAACACAAGCGGTTTATTGTTTTAATCAATATAATTAATTCCCCTTGGCATATTAATCATGAGATGCATGCATTAATAATCCAAGTTTACTACCGTTGAAAGAACCGGATTAATAACAAGCGTATTAACCGATTGATTCTAGTAATAATTAATATGAGAAACAAAACTAGTTGATATTTTAAGTAATGTTTAAAATATTAACATGAAATGTGAATAGGAATTAATTAATACTCAAGGAAGGATATTAAAGAATATGAATCCTACTATGATTAATATCAAGATGTTAAATAATTGTCATCTTAGTAACACTCCCCAATATTAACATAGAGGAAGAAATAACTATTACTATAACCAATGTCAAGATGTTAACTAATTGTCATCTTAGTAGCACTCCCCAACTTTGATATAGAAATAGTATTTTAAAGGAAGAATTAATATTCAAGAAAGAAGATTAAAGAAAATAACTCACAACTTACAAATTCATTAAACTTCAAAGTAGCAAAACCAAGATGGAAGAGTTTAGCTCCTCATTTGGAGACTAAACATGATGAAAAATATAAAGAAAGAACTATTCTATACTGAGCTTAGATGTACAAAGGAATTGGATGATCATTTGTGAAGGAAAGGGGGTGTATTTATAGGCTTTTGGGATGAGATTCGGGTACTCGATCGGGTATATACATGGTACCCGATCGAGTATGTGTGTAATACCATATTCGAGGTATACTCGATCGGTTTTAGGCTATTTTCCAAAGGTATACCCGATCGGGTATATGTTTATACTCGGTCGAGTATGCGTAGAAAGTGATATTCAAGCCATACTCGACCGATTTTACGTTTAAACTCAAAGGCATACCCGATCGGGTATGTCGGTCTACCCGATCGGGTATAGACACTTAATCGTGACCGAAATCTTCCCGGCATGTTCCCTTGTCTTCGGATCTGATCCGATTTGAAGTTTCAACCTAATACCCGATCGAGTATAGGTAATACTCGACCGAGTATAGACCAAAATTTCAGGATCCTTCTTGCTTTTTGACTTTTGCACCTTCCTTCCACTTTTGGGGTACACCAATTGTCCTTTGAGTGATCAAGACCTGTTTGAGCTCAGAATATACCTAATCTAAACTATTTACAAGAATTTAACAAACTAAACTATTACACCAAAAGAGTGTAATTTCCAAAGTAAAGATCAAGCAAAACTAATTAAAAACACAAACATACATATGGAAATTACAAACGTATCACTGACGGATCCCAACTACGAACTTGAGAGACGAGTTGAGCTGGATTATTAATTTATAATCATTATTTTTTAAATAATGTGTATTTTTTGACATTGAAAAAATGGATTTATGAATTCCGAGCACTCGCGTACACCGGAAGAGTGCTAAAATCTTGCACCACCGGGGTCACATCGAACGGGTATGGATAGTAAGCTCCCAATCTAAATGTTATCTAATTCATACTCTAGTTTCTATATTTTGTATGAGTTATGAGTGCCCTTAACTATCGGATTCGAACTGTGATCCCCCATCGGGTGTAGGTTTAGTCCTTTATGCATGCCACGCTCAACTAAGCATAGAAATCTAGCTTGAGCCCTAGCTTGGAAATTTGAGGTCACTTAATGTAGGTCCAAATCCAATAGCGAATTATAAGCTCAAGAAATTATATGAATTTTATTTGAATACATAGGTGCAACTAAATGATGACATCGCACGGCCCTTGAGTCGTCTCTCCTGGTCATCTTTATTTGATGGCTTGAGCTTCATATAGGCCTATCGGCCACATATCTCGGTCATCTTTATTTGATGACCTGGACATCATATTATGGATGGTCACACGATGTATCTCTTAGTCATCTTTATTTGATGACTATGACTACCTATCATGCCGAGCTACGCACATACGAAGACCGGTCTTGGTCATCCCCTTAGCAGATGACGGTTGCAGTTCCACGCCCGGGCCGAAGGGTTCACCCCTTTTGCTTCATTTTGGGGACATCCGATGTACTCTTTTTCCATCATTAGGATTTTTTCCCACAGGGTTTTTTCCTGGTCATCTTTATTTGATGGCTTGAGCTTCATATAGGCCTATCGGCCACATATCTCGGTCATCTTTATTTGATGACCTGGACATCATATTATGGATGGTCACACGATGTATCTCTTAGTCGTCTTTATTTGATGACTATGACTACCTATCATGCCGAGCTACGCACATACGAAGACCGGTCTTGGCCATCCCCTTAGGAGAAGACGGTTGCAGTTCCACGCCCGGGCCGAAGGGTTCACCCCTTTTGCTTCATTTTGGGGGCATCCGATGTACTCTTTTTCCATCATTAGGATTTTTTCCCACAGGGTTTTTTCTAGTGAGGTTTTTAACAAGACATATCCACAACGTGGACAAAAGGTGTCGACCCTTGATCCCTATTGAAGACATCACGAGACATGCACTACTCTACTCCTTTTCACCTCATTACATTCACCTCAAGGAGTGGGGGACTAGAAGAGCGGGGGACTTAGCGCCTCCGTTAACCAAAGAAGCATAAATTCAAAAAATTTCATGAAGTTTACTCATCAGACGACGACAGATCAGCACACAACAGCTCTACTCCCTTTCGCCTTGAGTACTCTCGACTCAGGGAGTGGGGGACTCCTGATAGAGTATATAGACTCGGACCCCCGGGTCTCACTATTGGGCTTGGACAGCGGCCCACACACGCTCATCAGATGTCATTTGTATTATTGTACTGTTCATATATCATTTGTATGTATTTGATTAACGTTTTATATTATCAGTATATTTATGTTACCGGGTCTGTCGGGCCCATATTATAGGCCCAAACCCGGATTTCCCTATATATACACTCCTTAAGGGAGTTCTTGTAAACCTAATTCATAACTCATTCATACATTACTATTCATTCATCTTCTTCACTTTCTTTAGCTCAATCTCATCTAAATTATATATGTTTGGATCTCTATAATCCATCATGTGGGGTTGAATTTTGAGAGTTTGGCTTTTCGAGTTTTCAAGAATGGAGTAATACTTGCTATATGGATTTTCATAGTCCCATTTGAAAACTCTACGTGTGAAAATAAGTGTAGTGGCAAAAGAGATAAAGTAGGAGAAAGTATTGTATACCTCAATTTCAAAACCATTCTCTATTTATAATATTGAACGGTAATGAGATTGAAACCACTTTGGAACTTTACCGTTGCAGTGCTTCACCGTTGCTGTTTTAATCAGATTAGTATATTAATTATCAATAAATTAAATATATTTGGGAATTACCATTTTAGTTCAACTTTCTCTCCTTTCTAGCATGTAGCTTGTTTTGGCTAATTTGCTTGCCCAAGCTAGAAGGTAATATGCACTCCAATGATAGGCTACTAGCTTGAGTATTTAAAAAAATTGCAAGCAAGTCCTTGGGAGGAATCATCGGAGATGCTCTTAAACTCGAACGATATACCTCCCAATGTTTCAGTTTTCGATTCCTTCCATTCAATAAGCCAAGCAAATTAGTCATTTACAAAACAGTAATATTATCACTTCAGATAATCGAAATTATTAATCGTAGTCAAATATCGGTTGATGAGCCATTTTGAAACGAGGCCTAAGTATGATTTACAACACACAAATTTATCAAATTTGAGGGTGAACATGACGTGACGAGAAAGAAAGATGAGACGATCTTAAGGGGGACTTATTTGATACTGATGGTCGCCTAGGAGGTCGGCAACCCCGTACAAGGATGCAAGGACATCAGTAATTATTTACTATTAATCACATGCAAGCAATCTGCAGCTGTATAGTGCCCTTGAACCCAGTCTTGGAAAGGAGGAAAAGGATCAATACATTGCAATACAAAGGCAGTCTTGAATGAGGAAAGAGGGGTCTGATAAGCATGCCGCCCATGTGTTTGATGAAAAGTGTGGGAAGGTTTTAAGAGCATTTAGTGCTACCCCCAACTACCTCCATGCCCAATCTAGCTACCTTCCTATGCCCTACCCCCTCCTCTCTATAACTATGCCTGCCCTGCCCTCCGCTCCACTCCACTAACTCTCCACACGTCTCTCTTTTCTCTCTTTAATTTTGTCAGTTCTGTAGGCTGTCTTGTAGCTAGGCAAGGTAAGTCAAGTCAAGGCCGCTGATATATAACATTGCCATCTATATATCAAGAATTGAAAGAATATACATATACTTAGGATAAAGTTGAAGATTAATTTCATGATGATGGAGGGCAAAACAACTGTTACTTACCAAACAAACGCGGTCTTCTCCCCCAACAATGCTGTGGGTATGGCGGATGGTAATGCTGGCAGTTCTTCGCAAGATGATGAGAGAGGAAGCGCCGCCGCGGGATTCCGCAGGGCGGAGACTCTGCTCCGCCTCTTTCCCATGGCTCTGTGTGTGGTGGCGCTGGTCTTGATGCTCAAGAACTCCCAAAGTAACACGGACTTTGGCTCCATCTCGTATTCTGACGTTGTACCCTTTAAGTATGTCCTCATCTCATCTTTTCCTCTATATGGGATTTACTTCTCGGTTCTCACTTCTCACACCTTTTATTTGTTTTATGCATTAAGATTAGAATGTTATCTTTGGGATCAGAAATTTTGTGGGACGGGACTCACAACGATCCAAAAGAAAATATCCTTAATCAGAGCAGAACTGCAAGAACAATCTGATAATTTGTATGCTTGTTATTAAGATTTATCGAGATTCAATTGTTTGTCGAAGCTCAATTCACTTCGACATCACTTGGGATTGCATCCCGAACTGACTAGGAATTTAATTGGAGTAGGTCAATCATATTAATTAATGTCATAAAATAAATTATTCCACCGTCTCATTCAAAAATTCTCACTTTAATGATCGTCACAACCAAAGGTTTATACTACATATTTTCTATTTCTGAAAACAATTACATTAACGCTCTTAAATAAATACAGAGTACTTAATAACTAATTATATTATATTCTCATCTAAACTATTTCCCGAAATATACTCGAATTAGCATATTTAATTATCGTTTACGTAATAATACTGTCATTTTGCAATTGGAACTTTCGAACGGGAAAGGGGTAGTGCATTTTAAACAGTTAACGGCTAATACAAATTTAGAAATAGCTTAATATAGGACTAAAACATAAACAAAGTTCAAAAATAGGACTGAATATATTTTATTTTCCAAATAGAACTTATTTAGTTCTACTAAAAGAAAAAGTTGATAAATGCATCCCATAATAGGAATGAATACTCCTATTTTGAGAAATAAAACAAAGATAGTCCTATTTTTTTGCTCAAAAAAGAGTCCTATTTATGAATTTAATTCTTATTTTAGTCATATATAGAAAGTTTTCGACCTCAAAAATCATATTGAAAAGTGCATTCAGACATAATTGAAGAAACTTATTAGTATGTTTTAGTGTTATGAATAATTATTGTACATGTAATGTATATTTTGCAGGTATTTGGTGCACGCAAATGGAATATGTGCAGGTTATTCACTCCTATCAGCAGTGGTTGCAGCCATACCAAGGCCCTTCAGTATGCCTCGTGCTTGGACCTTCTTCCTCCTTGATCAGGTTCTTTTCTACCCTACCCTTGCTACTTGCAACATAATACGTAGTAAAAATTGGTCACAAGTGTTTAGGCTTTTTGTGAAAGGAAAAATGACTTATATTAATATATTCTGATCGTTACACCAAATTCAAAGAGATCAACACTCATAACAACCATCTGTAAAAACAGTCACCCTTAAAAGAATAATATGAATAGTTAACCACCAAACAAGTATGACATAACAATCACTGGTCATATAGACCCTTCTAACGACATAATAGCTTGCAGAATTGTCAATCATTATGATTGACCTAAAATTAAAGACATCAACTAAAAATAGAGCAACATAAACAAACATAATGCTAAAATAAGACCATAAAGAATAAAATAACTCATAAATACTTTAAACACCTTCCGTGTCAGTTTTCTTGAAATATCATCCTCCAAACTCTGATACATCGATCACTCCAAGGCAGTAGTTCAAGATTTATTCTCCCTTGTCCAGCCCTTCACCGCTCATCACCCGTGCTGCCTCCTAATATGGTCGTCGTGTTCCTATTAGCAAAGGTCCCACTTGATGTACCATAATTCATGGCCTCCACCAAAAACACCACATTCTCCTCCTCCAACTCCATAGAGCCGACACCCGCCAGCCAAGATATAAACTTAGCTAAAGAGAACAAGATCCGAGCACCAAAAACGAAAATGCGCGCACGCTTCAAACAGCGGAAAACCTAACCCTATGCATACTTGTGAGGGACTCGACAGACGCTAGATTACGGCAAAACGCGGATCAAACCCAATAATCCAATACCGATGGTAGAGAAAACACATCGGAAGGCAGCGCCGCAGGGAGAAACCCTTCACATCTCTTTATTAACACAATACGGCTGTAGGGAGAATACTACGTAGTTGTCTACACTCTATTGTTAAGAGGCTAACCCGGAAGGACTCAAAAACACACCGGTCCCTTTTTCTGAATTAAAAAATGTTCAATTCGCTTCCGAACTGGCAAAAAATGGTTCAAAATTGATTTTTTACATGTACCGGTAAAATAGGTCCAATTCGCACCTTTAAACTATTAAAGTGTCAAAATTGCAATAAATTAAAAATAAAAAGCAGAAACAATAAAAAAATTAAAAAAATGATCGGTTGTTTACCCGTAAAAAATGAAATTTGAACCATTTTTTGTCAGTTCAGGTGCGAATTGAACCTTCTTTGAACCATTTTTTGGTGGAAGCCTAATTTTTTTGGCTCTTAAAATGAGTACTATTTAAGTTAGGACGCGTCAAAATATCATCTCAAAGTTTTTTTTGAAAGGAAATCGTCAACTATATTAACGTAGACAAATGTATGGAGTTAACTAGCCAAAAGCTCAAAGCTCCACCAACATTCTTCCAAAAGATTCCATCTAGACTAAAAAATGTCTTATAATCAAATTTTGAGACGGCTACTTTCAAAGAAGTTGCGTGAACCATTGACCACCAAACTAACAACATAAAGTTATTTTTTATCCTCAAGTTCATTGTACTCTTTTTCCCACTTTAGAAATCCCAAAAACCGAAAAATCTCTTCGTCGCTAATCAGGCATATAAAATTTCACTCAAAATAGAGTGAAACTTCTCATTGAACGTACGGGAGTTTCGAGGCGAACAACGACTTTAAACATCTCAAGAACGCTACTAACACAATCAGTTAGGTTGCACAATACGGACAACTGATACATATGGGATGCATTATTAAAACAGGGCACTCCAACGCGGGTGATAAAAATGGATATCATGTCATTAGTAGAAAAACGTAAATATATAATGAGACTATGCACCAAAATAACATCCCAGCGCGCATTAAAAGCTTTTTGAAATTTGTAACTCCCAATACAATGGGACTACGCACCAAAGTAATGAGTTCAAAAACAAAAGAGGTACGCTACTGACAGTTATATCCAGCACTTTGTAATTACTCCCTCAGTCCCTGAAAATATTTCCAACTTTCCCTTTACGTCTGTCCCAAAAAGAACTTCTTTTTCCTTTTTTGGTAAAGAATTTGTGGTTCACAGCAATTCTTAGACATTTCTCTCTCCTCTGCACAACTCTCAGCCACACAAAACCTACTTTCTTAATCCGTGTGACATTTGTACTACGGAAGTAAATTATGGGACGGAGGGAGTATGAAACTACCAAAACAAAATGGGTGTTCACATTTCACAATCAAAACTAGACTAGGGCGCGTAGAAATTAATGCCAAGTTGATCATAGGTAGATAGATTAACTAACTAATTCCCATGTTGCATCGGAGCAGTTCATATAGGCATGGGTGCGGTCCCAGTTTCGCTCCAAATGGGACTGTCTAGATTTCCATCCTCCGGTCCGCTCGGGTTTTCCTTGGTTTCGTTTTTTTGTCCCAAACATTTTATCACTTTCTTTTTAAAGTAATGAATGCATGGTTTTGCTTATTTCTCTCTTGTCTTCACAAAAATCTCAAACACGCAGTTTTTAGTATTCTTATATTTCACACAGAATATAGAGTTGGTAATGTCTAATGGGACAGAGTAGTATAAAGATGACTTGTAGCATTCATGACCTGATAGTTTCTACTTGGAGATCCAGACCGGGTGTCACTGATCTCCAAGAGTGACCAGTTTTTAACTTCATGGTAATTTGTAAGGTGATGAAATTATCAAGACCAAATTGCTCCATTTAACTCTAATCATCTTCCTGCACATTGGATATGCACCCTTATCTATATATACTGTTCTACAGCTCCTTACATACGTGGTACTAGCGGCTGGAGCAGTGGCAACTGAGGTGGTTTACCTGAACTACAAAGGGGACAGCGCCACCACATGGAGCGAGAGTTGCGTGGCATTTGGCGGGTTTTGCCACAAGGCCACCACATCTGTTGTGATCACATTCGCTGTCAGCCTATCTTATGTCGCCATTTCGCTCATTTCTTCCTACAGACTCTTCAGCAAGTATGATGCTCCAGTTGTCTTGCACAATGGCAAGGGCATTGAAATTCCCGCTTTCTGATCGGAAGCTAATCAGGCCGCCGGCCAGCTTTGATCATCTGTCATCTTATAATACATACACTTCAGTGTGTGCATGTTTTGCATTTGGCTTAGCTTAGAAGATACTTAAGTAGCTGGTACGACACAATGTTTAAATAGTCGAATAGTATGTCACCCTTCAAGTTATCACAATACTTGTTTAATTTCCTGTTTGTGCATGGGGTGGGGGTTTAAGAGAAATAGTCAAAAGTAGGGATGGACTCGGGACGGGTCAATCGGCCCAGCCCGATACTGTTTCAGCCCGGCCTGACCTTAATAGGGGCGGAGCCAGGAGGTGAGGGTAGGGGGGCCAAAATCCTACTACATAATATACTCCTTCTCTTTAAGTTTATTATTATCTCAATTTTTCTTATAATTCTTTTATATTAGACACTTTAAGACTAATCTCCAATACTACTCCATAATATATTATCGATAATATATTATTACATAAGGAGTACCGAGTATTATTTATGATTGAATAAATAATCCTCCAAACTCCAAAGTATAGTGTTATAGATTTAATATTTTCCCAAATAACTACTCCTAGAAAATATAATACTTTAATAGATATGATATTTTAATGAAGTATTCAAAAATTATAAGTGAAGTATAAACTTTAAACATATTTTGAACTACTATACTACTAGAGAAACACAAAATCAGGAGGGGGGGCAAAAAAAATTACAAGCCAATGATTAAAAAAATAAAAATGTCGGGAGGGGCCAAGGCCCCCCTAGACTTGCACATAGCTCCGTCCCTGCCGGCCTGGTACCCGGGTCCATGACCGGTTCCGGCCACCCGGGCCGGTACTGTTTCGGGGCGGGCTTCGGGCCTCCAAAATAGTGAACTGGCCCGGTCGGGCCCGGTTCAGGCCAAATTTTTTTTGGTTTTTCAAAATATTTGGAAGGTAAATGGGTTGGGATGGGTGTTTTGGAGGGGTTTGGGGTGGGGGTGGGGGCAGGAAGTAATTAGAAAATCAAAAAAAAAGGATACCCACCGCGTGGCTCGGCCCGACCCAGGCCCGGTAGCTACCCGGGCCGGTTCCGGACCTCAAGATTCAAAAAAAAAACGGTCGGACCCGGTCCAGACCGGCCCGAGTCCATGCCTAGTCAAAAGTATGTAACCGTGCTATGTTGTCATAATCTTGTTTTAAGAGACTGCAAATATTATAACATTTTGATTACATGTATAACAAATGCTGTTGTATGTTGTACGTTTTTGTACTTAGTTGTGAGAAGAATATTTATATGTGAAATAGTTGTAGATAAATATGAAATTACAGGATAGGTAAGACTTAATTGAAAAATATAGTATCAATAAATGGATGTGAAAAAGTTGCTTATTAGCTTTGGATGATTTAATATATAAACTATGCGTGGACTTGGGCCGGGCCTAGGCCCGGTCGGGCCGCCGGTTTGTATGACATGGGCCCGGGACCGGCCCGAGGGTTGGACGGGTCCGGTTCGGGTCGGGCCACCCGCCTGGGTCACGGGTCGGGTCCGGTTCGGGCCGGTTAATTTTTTTTTTATAATTTATATTTTATAGTTTATAGTTGTAAAAATGGCACCAATATTACCTCTCATCTTATGTTGGACAAAAATATGACCATTTTAGAAAAGTACTGGAAAGTGACTTCTGACTTCACCTTTCAACTTACACTTTCATCTTCCACTTCCGCCTAACACTTACGCGCAGGCTCCATACATCCGCACAGGCTCCATACTTCCGTACAATTCAAGCTCCCTCGCAGTCCAGATCTCCGCATTGCCTATCCGGGCCACCAGGGACGGCCGCCTCCGATTCTCATCTACACCGGATGTCTCCGCCTCGCCTTTGCAGACTGCTAGATTCCGCCGCCGTTGCTGCAATTCCGTCACCGCTGCTGCAATTTTGTCGCTGCGAAACGTCGTCGTCGTTGCAAATCTGGTGGTGTTAGGGTTGTTGGGGCTTGGGCGAGTTGCAGAGGGCTGGGGGGCTGGGGTGCTGGGGTGAGGATGACGGTGGTTGTTGGGGCGCTTGCGAGTCGCAGAGAGGCTAGGGCTAGTCGGAGAGGTCTGTCAGCGTTGAAGTCAGGTGGTGGTGGCGCTGGGACAGAGAGGCTGGGGATGGGGCTGGGAATCCGTGGGGGGGGACAGGGGAGCAGGGGAAGGGGACTGGAGCTGGGTAGGTATAGGGGCGGCGACCGCGGTGGATGGGTGGTGGCAAGGTGGTGCTGAAGCAGGTTGCGGCGACCGCGGTGGCTGGAGTGGGCTAGGGGGTGGGGGGCTGGAAGGCAGAAAAGGGGGTTGGGGGGAGCAACAAAAGGGGGTTGGCTGGAAGCCGAATAGGGGAGCGGGCTGGGGAAGAGTCCGTACGCGGTCCCAATCGATGGTGGTGGTTTCGAGGTGGCAAGGTGATGATTTCCGGCAAAACTTTTGATGAGGAAAAGTTGCCGGAAAATTTTCCGGCGACACAGTGACATGTTTTCAGATACAGTTACATCCGAAAGTGACGTGAAAATTGGTAGTGACATTTCAAAAGTGACATATAAATCTAGTAGTGACATATAAGAGTGACATAAAAAATGACAGTGACATCATGTTTTTCCAAATATGTGACTTTCTTAGTCACATTTTTGTCCGTTTGTAAAAATGGTCACATTTTTGGAAATTAGCTACAAATTGGTAATATTCAAGGAAAAAGCCCTTATAGTTTTATACGAGTATTTAAAACAAACTTCAAGTGCATTTATTTGAAATGAAATAGGAACTACATTTGAAAATTAAAACAAACTTTAAGAGAAACATTTTGAAAATTGTAATCAATCGGAACTTCCCGCACCTCCCGATCCTTTGGATTTGTCACATGACTTCATATGCTTGATTGCCATCCCGTATCCGCCTGAAACCCCCATGCTACATTTTTTCTCGCACCATTTGCAAATTGCGTACCACATCCCGGTCTTCGGGTCCTTCATCTTATCAAAATTATACCGTATAATGGCATCTTGATTTTCCATCTTAACTTCTTAAGTATAAAGTATAAACTATAAAGTAGATATATAAATAATAAATATAATGATGGATAGTGTACTCGGGGTAGCTTATCCGAGGGGTTATTACGGGGAGTAACAAGAGAGAAGTCAGAGCAAGTAAATATAGAGAGAGAAAGTATATTATAAGTGTGGAGCGTTTTCAGCGTGGTTTCAAATGGGGAAATGGGGTGCTATTATAGTAGCAATAAATGCTGGACAGGGACACGTGTCAAGCGCCCATTGGCCGAGAGGTCATCTCAACTGGTTGGCGCTGGCAGCCGCATGTGGCCGCATTTAATGCGGCTGTTGGATGGGACGTTTGTACAGGGTACGGTGATCTGTACGCATGTGGCGCGGATATCATGTCGGGAGAGGTGCCCTCGGCTGCAGAGGACTAGCCGAGGGCTCTGAGTGCCGGGGACCCCCTGAGTGCCGAGGGCTACTGTTTTCTGCCGTTTTTCTCCCAGTTTCTTAGTTTGCTTGAAAACCCATTCTGCGAGAGTTTTGAGCCTTCGGCCAGGGGGCCGAAGGCTACCCAGTGTGCGTTGTGGCTGCTAAGTGCTTGGGGCGCCGTAATTTGGGGCCTGCTGTGCTTCCTGGGCCGGTTGGGCCTTTATTGGTGTAGTAGGAGTCTGTGGGCCGGGGGTTCCCGGGCCATATACTCCATCATATAATATATTGGAGAATAAGAGAATTAGAGAGTAGAGAGTTAAGAATAGGATTTAGGAAGAATTGGAGAAGAGATATGAAAAAATGTTTAAGATTAGGAGTATTAATAGGTTTTTTTACCCCCCACCACCCCCCCACCACCCAACCCCCCCCCCCCCGCACCCCACCCAACGGCTATATAGCCGGGTAGCCGTTTGGGTTGTCCCCAGCCCACCCCCAACGGCTAGTAGCCCAATTCAAAAAAAAAATTAAAATCAGACCGCCCGGACCTGGACCCGACCCAGCCGGGCCGGGTCACATTTATCCGGCACCGTGCCCGCCCCGCCCATTCCCACTAGTTCGGACCCACACCCGGTCCCGGACCGCCCGACCGGGCCGGTCCCGGACCCGCACAGTGCCGGGCCGGTCCGGGCCGGGTCACGGGCCGGGTGGCCCGAACCGAATCCACCCCTAATATAAACAAGACCGACAAATAATTTACCCAAACTAGTCTACAATAGGTATTTTACATATAAGTGATATAACTAGTTTACGTCCAATAAATATTGTCTTTTGTGTAGGGGTGGATTCGGGCCGGGTCGGGATCGGGCCGGGCCTAGGCCCGGTCGGGCCGCCGGTTCAAGAACAGTGGGCCCGGGACCGGCCCGAGGGTTGGACGGGTCCGGTTCGGGCCGGGCCACCCGCCCGGGTCACGGGTCGGGTCCGGTTCGGGCCGGGCCGGTAAATTTTTTTTTTATATAATTTATATTTTATATTTTATAGTTTATAGTTTTATACGAGTATTAAAAACAAACTTCAATTGCATTTATTTGAAATGAAATAGGAACTACATTTGAAAATTAAAACAAACTTTAACAGATAAACATTTTGAAAATTGTAATCAATCGGAACTTCCCGCACCTCCCGATCCTTTGGCTTTGTCACATGACTTCATATGCTTGATTGCCATCCCGAATCCGCCTGAAGCCCCCATAATACATTTTTTTCGCACCATTTACAAATTGCGTACCACATCCCGGTCTTCGGGTCCTTCTGCTTATCAAAATTATACCGTATAATGGCATTTTGATTTTCCATCTTAGCTTCTTGGAGAAGAGAATTAGAGAGTAGATATATAATATATTGGAGAATAAGAGAATTAGAGAGTAGAGAGTTAAGAATAGGATTTAGGAAGAATTGGAGAAGAGATATGAAAAAATGTTTAAGAGTAGGAGAATTTATAGGTTTTTTTACCCCCAACCCCCCCCCCCCCCACCCCACCCCCCACCCCTACCAGCCAACCCCCCCGGACCCCCCCTTTACCCCACCCAACGGCTATATAGCCGTTTGGGTTGTCCCCAGCCCCACCCCCAAGGCCTCAACGGCTAGTAGCCAAAAATCAAAAAAAAAAGTTTTTTTTTTTAAAAATAGACCCGGACCCGGGCCCGGGCCCGACCCGGCCGGGCCGGGTCACAAAAATGATGAACGGAGCCCGCCCCACCCCTTCCCCCCGGTTCGGGCCCAGACCCGGTCCCGGACCGCCCGACCGGGCCAGTCCCGGGCCCGCACAGTACCAGGCCGGGCCGAGTCACGGGCCGGGTGGCCCGAACCGAATCCATCCCTACTTTTGTGTAAACAAGACGAAAAAATTATTTACCCAAAAAGCAATAAGTAGATTTCACATATTGAGTAAAAGTATTTTATGAAGTCAATGTAAAGAGTCGAAAGTAATTGGTGAATCGTTCCGAAACATTTCAGTGTTTTTTCACTCTAGGTATTCACATCTTTCACGATTTGTTGGGAGTAGGGATTTGTTGGAAGTAGAGTTGTAAAAGAATCAAATAATATGTGCTTGATTCGCGATTCAAATTCGTATAAGACGATTCGAATTCAGAAAATTCAAATACAAATACAAATAAGAATATTAAATTTGATTCGAGTTTTTATCAAATAAAAATAAGAATATTAGTGTATTTGATTCAATATTAATCAAATATATGCGATTAATAATAATGGTAATATTATTATCAATATTGATAATAATAATAGTAATAACACTATAATAACTTTTAAAATATAGCAATACCCTCAAACTGTAGCCCATATATACACTTTTGCATACAGATTTCAAGACCATTTGTAATAAATCGGAATATAAATACGAACACAAATCAATTTTTTGTTCAAATGTATTTCAAATACACTACAAATAATTATATATTCGATTTGAAGAATAAAATTAGAGTTATTTGACTTTGATATTTACAATTATCAACTTATTTCACACATTATAAGTATAATTTCTAATATGTGTGTGTTAGTGTTTAATTCAAAAAGTTTGAAATAGATTTATATTTATTAATCATAAAATTAATTCACTTTAGTATATTATGCACCATCTAAAAATGCATTGATCTGTTAAATTTAAATTCTAAAAACATATATTATGTCATAGCATGCATTTACTAACATAAAAAATACCGAGTATAATAAAAGCTATTTTAAAGTAATATTTGACTTATATTTAACTTGTGCTCAAATCGATTCAATATTCGTATATGATTCGTTAACTATTCGTATTGTTAAACAAATACAAATACAAATCGAAATTAATATTTGTTTCATATTTGAATTCGAATTCGAATTCAAAAAAATTAAAGAAATACAAAATACAAAATCTCATTATTCGACTCGATTCGGTTCATTTACAACTCTAGTTGGGAGAGAGGGTTGAAAACTTGAAAGTTGAAAGTAGTAGTAAAACCTTTAGACAAAAAGAGGGTTGAATAAATACACTATATTATTATTATCACAATCAATACCAGTGTGTTTTTAGTAAAGTAATAATTATAGACTTATAGTAGTATAACGAGATAGAATTGTTTCTGATTGAAATACAATAAGCTATACTAATGCAAGTTTTGGTCTGTTCTTTAAGCTAACGAAGATAGTCTATTTTAACCAAAATGACGAAAAAATGCCTACGCTGGTATACTGAATCAATGACAAGAGTTTCTCGATGTTCCTATAAATTACCATTATCAAATTTTCTGCCATGCGGACAATTACCAAGCTATATTGGTATTGCCATTCTACAAGAGATTATTGATTAAGCTATAAGAAATTAAATAAAATAAAATAAGAGAGAAGAAACTGAACAAGGATTGCAGTCAGTCAGATTTGCTAAAGAGAAAACATCCACGCAGCAGTAAGCCAGTAACATTTAAAAGGCATCTTCTTGTTGTCAACGGAACATCACAAGAGAATAAAATCGTTCAATATATCAGGGCAGGACCTTTAAAATCCTGAATCCAAACCAAAGGATAAGTTAATGCTCAACTTAAGCATACAAAAGCAAAATCTTACTACGTATAACATTAATGAAATGCACCGGACTGCATTGATAAGTTAACCAAGTGATAAGTTATCTAAGTTCTTAATAAATGCAACGGCCAAATTCTTTTTTGTAATCTTAGAAATTACTGAATGCTCAATTTTTTTTTTAAAAGAGCAAATTCTTACAAGCAATGCATCAGGTTGTTAATTGATGAGTTACTGAGTTCTTAATAAATCCTTGCCACCCCCATCATCATCATTACCCCAGTGCCGCAAAGGCTCCCACCTACGGTGGGGTAAGGGGGAGTTGGATGACCCATAGTGAAAATTGCGTCAAAAACTGCATGGACTGACAATTGCTTCATAACAAAGAAGCGCAATCAGTTTAGTTAACCATTTTGCTTTATTCCATCATATTCCCAAGCCAAAAAAAACGAGTCTGGCTCCATTGCAAATGATGGAAATTAATAAATACTCCTGCCATATTCATTTCATTTTGTAATCTTAGAAATTTTGCATAATCTACCATTTGTCTCATTACTTCTTAAAAAACGGCAATGGAGCAAAAACACAGAGATATTTGGTAGTTCACACAGGGCATAAATCATTGAATCTAGTCATATGGAGCTTAAAGCAAAGAGTTCAGCACTAGTATCTAAACTTTTAAACTTATCCAGTAAACTTCAAGCTCAATACTCCGATCCTCACAGAGTAATATCAATGAGCAACCACCAAGACAAAATCACATCTTGCATGGAATATTAAATGTGTAATAGAACCATATTCAATTATATCCAGAAAACTCAAAAAACACTTGTTTATGGATTAGAAGAAATTGAAATAGCAAATAAGAGTACCAAGTTTGAACTCATTTAGAGATTCCGGTTAATTTCCCCCACGGGTTTTGCTATATGAGTTTCGAGTCATGAGTTTTTTGCCAGCAGATCGATGATCATCCTGCAAATACAAAATGTAAATTTGGCCCACCGACCAATTCCGTTGAAAAACAATTAAATGCAACACTGCCAACAATCAAGGACTAAATGACAGGAAACAACTCCACCGAACCCAAAGTATCAATCCTCTTGTACACCACCCTCAAGTAAATGAATAGAGTCAAGATGAATATAGGGCCGGATGTGGTTAAGAATGCAGAATAGATTTGTATACCTTATATAAAGAAGCAGCTGATTCAGATTCCACAGTTTGAATCGGAACATTTCCGATTGAAAGAGAATCCAAAGCATCCAAAGTTAGTTGCCAGCCACAAAGAGCAAGAGCGCCAGCACTAGAGCTGGAGCCGCCACTACTGGTACACCCAGCTGCTGCAACATTCCCATTGACCCAAGGGCAGAAAGGGTTATGGTAGTTAACAGGATCAAACTCAACGGCTTCTTTATATCCGCTTTCTCCATTGGGAGGACCTGGAGAATACATTCCATTTAATTATAAAAGTGAACTAAATAGAACTAATTGGGGATAAAATATGACTTAATCATAGAAACAATAAACTACAATGGCCTGCCAAACATTCCATTATCTAAATAATGTCCATTATAACAATCATGTTGTCACCGAAGTGTTCTAAATCTATGCATGACGAACATCAGTTAGATAATAATACACAAATCTTATTACAACAACAACATTAACTCAGTGCAGCAAAGGCTCCCACGTAAGGTGGGGTAAGGGGGGTTGGATGAACGCAGCCTTACCCCTATACTAAAGCACAGAGAGTCTGTTTTTGGATGACCCATGATGAAAATCGCGTCGAAAATGGCATGGACTGATTGTGCTTCATAACAAAGAAGCACAGCCAGTTTAGTGAGCTATTTTGCTTTGATCCATCATATTCCCATGCTAAAAAATAGTGAGTCTTTGGCTCCACTGGAAATGATGGAAAAATATTCAAATCTTATTATTGTGCAAAATAATCAGCACTTAAGATGTATTAGCATCCCTATACACAGCAGTAAGGGCATGAGTTTGGCAAACAGAATAGCGCTGATACCATTACCTGTCCCCTTGGAAACTACTAAGCCCGACTCCACCACATATCCACCATCTTCAGTAGCCAGTGTATTGGCAGCCTGGTTAACTTCTTCCTTTGATGTCTCATGCACAGATAATAAAATAGCATTGCGAGAAAGAGAGGGATGTGGACTATTATTAGGCATGGCATGCCTGACATCAGTCTTCTCAGCACTTTCAATGGATTCTTCCTTGGTTGAGCCAAGAACTTTTGAGCCACTGTCAGCTCTTCCCACTGATCGAGATGTTAGATCTTGACTATCACCATGAGGATCCTCTCGGTCCATCCCCTCTGGTACATAGTCACCCATAAGTCCAGGATCAGGACCGTATTCACCTGTTTGACCCTCGTTTTCTGTGACTTCAGCAACCGGTTCCACATCACCAACAATGCTATCAGTTCTATGCACAGAATTATCCATCCCGTGAATTTCAGCTTCATGACTGGCACCCATTCCAATGCTCCCTCCACTAATTCCAAAACTAAAGCCATCCCTCGCGTGAGCAGTCGCAGTATCTGCATTTAATACTTCCTCATCGTTGGTGCTACTAACACCAATATCACCAGCACTCCTAATAGCGGTAGCAGGACAGGCACTCTGTTGTGCTTGATTGCTATAGTTTAAATCGGACATTTCAAAGGGATCAGTGCTTTTTACACCCGATGTTGAAGGGAACTGGATATCACCAACATCTCCTGGATAGTTTTCCACACTTTCCATTGAATCACCATCAGCACTATGAAATGTGTCCATAGCAATAACAGATGAAACACGTGTTGAATCTCTCCTAGATGGGAAACCGAAAACCTGGTCATGGACTTGGTTGAAAGGGTCATCTCTTTGGGCATCCATTCCAACCTCAAAACCAATTGACAGTACAGGAGCAACACTTTTCCCATATGATGAGTGATAAAATTCCAGAGGATATGACTCACGGGGGCGTTTCGAAGGACCAGCTGAGTACTGGCTTTCATCATTTACTTCATCTCCGTCACGGTCTATTACTGTTCCTTCGGCACTGTCTGCTTGTTGTAACATCAATTGTGGCCTGTCAGCGGTGCTTCCACGTTCCTCTAAATGACGCTTGTGAGAACTAGGACCGCGTGATTCATATGAAGCAGCACGGTTACCAACCTCACTGCTACATGGCTGTCCCATCATTGGACCTCTTTTCTTATTCACATCTTGGAATTGGTCAGAGCCTAAATTCTTCCGTACTTGTGAGGAAAGCCCGCCAGCAATTGTAAGATTTAGGTCGACACCATAATTCGACAGCGACCTTCTCTCGTCTGTTGCAGCTTCATCGTGATCTCCCGTCTGTTCTTTTTCTATACCATCAGTAGCAACCCGCCCACTTATTCCGCTTGCTGCACTAACCCCTCGTGTCAATGCCATCTTTTTGCTTGTCTCAGGGATATCAACGCTATTGGGAGCAAAACAAGCAGGACGAGAAACTGTAAGGAAGTCCAGGATCCTCACTGTAGCTCCACACAAACTACAATCCAACAAAGGTGACCTAGATTCACCTCTCGAAATGGGGCACGCCACTTCCCTCCTGAAAGTGTCGTTTTTCTTTGAATAAGAAAGCACCATCTTTCCGCGGCCAGGATCTTGTGGAGGACCACAACATTTTGTTGGACTTGTTGAACATCCATTCCTAGCTGACTGAGCTGAATACTCTTCACAGTCTTGAATATTCGGAAGCCACCTAGGCTCCCATCCACAAAGGCTAATGAGCTTCTGGGCCTAAGTTGTGAGGAGTAGTTTAAAAAAAGGCTTAGAAAATGAAAATATGTGGGGTGGGGAGGGGTGGGGAGGGCTAAACAGTAGTAGTTCAAACCATGAAAATCTTACACGAGAGTATATAAAGAAAACATTGTCTCTGGTGTTCTCATCTCCAGACAAAACCTCTGGCCTAAAGAAAGTTTCAACGCCTCCAAGCGCCTGTGATTGAGCTAGAAAACAGTCAATTTCTGAACCTCTAGAAACTCGCATGTGTTCAATTGCAGATGTAGCCAATATAGGGAGGGAAGAGAACTGAAGTAGTCCATCAGAACGATCCTTGAAACCACCAATTAGGGCAGATGGAGGAGTAGGAGGGAATTGGGCCAAGCTTTCTGCACAGCTATTTCCTCTCCATGGGCAAGTGACTTTATGCCCATCATCAAGTTTATTTGAGAAGTCTTCACCAGCTATTTCAACTGTAAAGGATAATCCACTGATTAAAACAAAGGGTATAACAGGCATGCAGCGCAAATTCAAAATGAGTAGGTAAGACTTTGAAGACAAGATGTGACATCAATAATAAGGAAATCGGATTTTGATGTGCCTCAATGAGATGACTTTTCATAAGAACCAATGAGCACTATTTTATACTCCCTCCGTCCCCCTACAATTGTACCATTTTTTCATTTTTGGATGTCCCTCTATTATTGTCTCATACCATATTTGGTAACATTTGTGTGGCTCTAATTCATTCTTACTTTATTCTCACTTTATCAACTCATTATCTACCACATAATTCTACTTTTGTTAAAAAACCACAGCACTCTCTTCCGTCCCAATATTAGGGGAACAGAGGTAGTAGTTCTTTAAAGTTAAAAAGTTGCCATTCGAAATAAATAAAACAGCATTTTTTATACATCTAAAAGAAATAAAACAACAGTTTCATGTAGGATACATGTTCACACACATCCCATTAACTTATGAAAATAGAATACCAAGCTCCGAATTATTAAGATAGTAAGAGAAGATTCTGCTTATAAGTAATTTAACAATTGAAATATATGGACCCAAATACGATTCTTTGAAACTTGAGAACCACGAAAGGATCTTAGTTTTAAAAGGGGTGAGGTGCCATGAGGCATGTTTGTTAAAGTTAGCCAAGGCGCGCCTCACAAAAATTAAGCATACAGATTTGCTAACAATATTTATACAACTGGTACATGATACTGTACCCGAAAATAATGATAGAATTAACAAGTCATTAAACAAAGCATATTGAATACCAAAATCAGTCACAAGAGAAACAAAATAAATATTCAAAGTTTACTGATTTAATATGTCCTGGAGCTTAAAGTTTACTGATTTAACTAAAGCTTATTATATTAAGTTTAAATTTAAAATTTAAATGCGTCCTTGCCTTTAAAAATTAAAAAACATCACTTAGTTATTGACTTAGTAACGTGGTTAAAACATTAAGGCTTCTAATTTTAAGTCTATTTTTAGGCTTGCTGCTCACAATCAGACAGATTGTATTGAGGCTTCTAATTTATCAAGTCTTCTGGTTTTAAGACTATCAGGAAGATTACAAATTAGTTTTGGGACTTCTAGTTATAATATGAAGGCTTCTAGTTTTTTTAAAGGAAAACGACTATATTGATATCATTAGAAATGAAGGCTTATAGTTATAAATTGGAATTTAATGTTAACTTTAGTTAGCTGGGAATGCAAAACTAGGATGGTAGTCACGGTACCATGTATATCCATGCACACAGACTAGGCAAGTAATTAACTTGATAAAAATGAAAGAAGAGCATGAGCACAAACTGCTCAATCTGCGATTGGAGTAAAAGAGCAGGAGACCATGAGTCAAACAGAATAGAGCACAGGGAAATTACTAAGATATTGAGAGAAGTGGGAAAATAGGAAGTGATTAAGAGAAGAAAGACGAAAAAACTTGCGTGAAAGAGGGCAACATGCGAAGAGAAGGCGAGGAGTTGATTTTTTATAAATAAGAAGAGACAAAGTGGTTTCGGACTTTGGGAAGTGTGTGACCACTTATTAAATACTAGGCAGCAGAAGAAAACTCTAGGAAACTACGAGAAATAAATCGCAACTAGCAAATAAATCGTCAAATTTACAAGAAACATTGGGGCCGCTAATGTGTTAGTCTACTGATGTGCGAAAATGCAGAAAGAAGCGAGGAAGGCACGCGCTTTGTGGAATCTTCACTAGTGATTTTTTCATCGCACTTCCGCACTTTGCACCTAGTCGTACCTAGTACAGTAGTACGCGCTTTTTTAAACTAAGGAAAGAATTTCTGCAAACCATTAATACCCTTGATCAATCTCAGACATTCATCTTCAAGCAGAAAATTAGAAGAGGTTTGGTTGTGCTTGTGGTTTGAAGTTAATAAACTATTAGGTATCTAAGGAGAAAATATAATCTAAAACTTAATGCCTTCTAGTTTCCTCGTCATGAGATCAGATGTTACTACCAAAAAAGAGGAAGAAAGATTTTATCAACATAAAACCTCGTCAAAGTGGGGCATAACAGTCTCAGCATAGACAATCTCAGGTGAGGTATTTGCATGCTCTACTGAAAGAAATTAAAACTTACGAGTAAGAGACAAATGGGCATTTGTGTGTATTCATCTTTCTAGGAAAACAAGGAAGGAGACTTTACATTGTTAGTTATGTACTTATGTTGGTTCCAATTACAAAGTTAGTTGCTTCAACATTTCACTCAGAAGCCCCTCGCTCCATGGCAGTTACTTTGTGGACAATTATACTAAGAAAAACTATCAAATAAGTCCTACTATCTCCAAAATGGCAATTACGCATTTACCCCCCTGTACTAAAAAACACTCGATCAAACACTTCAACTTATCAAAAGCAGTAAAGCACTCAATTTATCTATTTGACATGTTTCTAACAGGTAATCAGCAACCTTTACCTACTTGTCTGATAGAGAGCAGGAGATCGGATTGGGGAAGAGAGGCTGAGCCCCCTGTTGGCTAACCGAAGGCGGGGACAGGCTTGAGCCCACCTTCGAGGGCTGGCTGTTGGATGGGGTTTTAGTTTTATTTATTATAATTTTTCTGTTATGTTTTCTTATTTGGGATTGATTAGGATTCTGCTTTGGTCTGTTATTAGAAGGGTATTTAAATCCCTAATTAGGGTTTACTTTAGTTTATCAAAGGAATAAGAGTGAATTTCAGCCTGGTGGCTTGGGCAACAGTTTCTTCCATTGATTATCAATTTTCAGCTCTCATCAATTGTTCCGACATGCTGAATCCAGTTCCCGCCGGAATGACCAGATCAACTACCGGTCGATTGACGGGGGTGGAGGCCAAACAGGCCTTGATGAACCAGAAATTGGATGCGCAGAGTGTCCCGTTAGCGGGCAGCCCTGTACTTACTAACCTGGTTAAGGGCGCGGAAGCCTGGCATGACGTGGGAGGAGTTCATGCAGGCATTGGTGGCGCGATTTTACTCACGGTTTAAGGGCAGTTGTTTTGAACGGCTGTCTGGGGATCAGGAATGGTAGAGAATTACATCTTGATTTTTGTCTAATTGGTGAGTCATGTCCCATGTCTGATGATCATTATATGGGGTATTTCATGAATGGGCTAAAGGGCCAGTTCCGGATTCTTTACGGCTGCTGCACCTGAATAGTCGGGAGACAGCAATGGAATTGGACAGAGATACTAAGGACAATCTGTCCTTTCAGAATGAAGGACAAGGGAGCCAGTCCTACAATTATGCAGGGTCGCATTCGGGCAGTTTCTCTTGGCCGAGTGGGGGTAACATTGTAACAACACAGCCGCAAGTTACGGCAGCATGAGGGGGTTGAGTGGCAGCTTTCCTAAGGAAACCGAGCAGCCCACGGGGACAAATTCAGGGCTGTCTGGGCAGTCTACTGCACGCTCCAGATTCACTCAACTTCTGCCAAAGGTGTTAGAAGAATTGTGGGCAAAAGGATTGTGCTTTAGGTGTAGGAAACCATTTACACCAGAGCGCGACTGCCCGTTTAAGCAACTAAGGGTGATGTTAGTTGAGGAGGACGAGGAGTTGGACCTCCAACAACATGAATACATGATTATTGTAAGATAACCGGGCAGGAGGAAGTTAAGGAGAATCAGGAGGGTTTGGAAGAAGACTTTGAGACTTCGGGGGTGGTTGAGGGTTGCACAGGACAATCCTGATAGAAAGTGGCGCAAGCCACAACTTTATTTCTTCATCCTTAGTCTCCCTATTACAATTGAATCCGGAATATTGGGTGATGGGCATAGACAGGAGTCGGAGGGGGTGTGTAGACAGCTTCCTATATCATTGCCGGGGTGTGCTGCCAAGGGAGATTGCTATGTGTTTGCCTTGGGCGAGGTTGACATCATTTTGGGAGTATCTTGGTTGGCCACGTTGCGAGAAGTACAGACAAATTGGAAAACATTGACTATGAAATTCAAGTGGGGTGGTAGTCGAGTCGAGCCAAGGGGTGACATGGCGATAAATAAGAAGAAGTGTGTCTTTGGGTGTCTGAGATCGAATACTTGGGGCAATCCAGTGATGATGCTACTTGGATGAGTTAGGAGAGTTTTGTGAACCAGTTTCCAGATTTCGACCTTGAGGGCAAGGTTGTGTTGAAGGTGGATGGAGTTGATAAAGAGCAAGAGATCGGCTTGGGGGAAGAGGCCCCTGTTAGTTTACCGAAGGCAGGGACGAACTTGAGCCCACCTTCGTGGGCCGGCTGTTAGATGGGGTTTTAGTTTTAGTTTTTATAATTCTTCTGTTATGTTTCCTATTTGGGCTTGATTAGAATTTCTATATTTGGTCTGTTATTAGAAGGGTATTTAAATCCCTAATTAGGATTTAATTTGGTTTATCAAAGGAATAAGAGTGGATTTCAGCCAGGTGGCTTGGGCAACGGTTTCCTTCGTTGATTATCAATTTTCAGCTCTCATCAGTGTCATATATTTTTCTCTTTCTTTTTCTTTTTCTTTTTACTTATTCTTTTTAGGGAAAAGTACGAAAAAGGTACATGTGGTTGGGCCTATTTTCAGATAGTATCATGTGTTTCATTTTTTACCAAAGTGGTTCATGTGTTTGAACTCCGTTATCACAAAAGGGTCCTGACACCTGACGTCGTTAGAAATCGCCGGAGGAAGACAATGAACAGTAACTCTGATTTTCAAAAGTTTCCGGAAAATTAAAAGAAAAATATAGGAAGGTGCGCCTCAACACGACGACCAATAGACCATCTTTCTTTTTTGTTTCCAAACACCCTTGTCACCGGAAAGTCCTCCGGGAAAGTGATATTAGCGAACTCAGTTTTAAAAAATAATCCAAACAAATCCGAAAAATCCAAAGACGAAAGTGGTCTGGATGTCATCTTGATGAGGCGCACCTTCCGGTATTTTTCTTTTAATTTTCCGGGCACTTTTGAAGATCAGAGTTACTGTTCATCATCTTCCTTGGGCATTTTTAACAGTGTGACCCTCTTGTGATAACGAGTTCAAACACATGAACCACTTTGGTAAAAATGAAACACATGACCTATCTAAAAACGAGCCCAACCACAGGTTCCTTTTATGTGTTTTTCCCTTCTTTTTACCTTTCCTCTTATTATGTTTTATATTCTTCTGTGTTCCTGCTTTCCCAGTAACCAACTCTAGTCTTTGAAAGAAGTTGTCTTTGAAAGAGCAACAACCTTCTGGACCTTCTTTCCCTTTCCATTATTGTCCAGCAGCGAGGGATGAACGGATCGTCGTGATATGCTAGGGTCGGTCCTGTCGAGGTTGTCTAAGCTAGTGGGGCGACACTTGTTGTTGCCTTGTCGATGGAGATGGGATCGCTGCTGTTTATTGTGCTTCCGAGTGTGGAGGCAACAATTTGGCTTGATGTTATTTGAGGATCTCATGGAAGTACGCCGACATGTATACCAACATAAGGAGGGAAGAAGATGGTGAGTTAGGTTTTGGTAGCTTGAAGATGAATAGTATCATGGTTTCTTTTGTTTCGTTGTTTAACAACAAGCCAGAAAGGGTTCTTATAATTTATTTTGTTTTTTTATTTCTTCTTTTCCAATAATGACTTGGCAAGGATAAAACAATGTGGCAGTGATTTGGCAGTGATTAAGCAAACCCGGAACCCTAGAGAAAACCTGCTAAAATGACAATTTGAGCTTTTTCAAAAACGTTGATGTGTCTAATTGGGTGTTTTCTAAGTACGCAGGCTTAATTGCCATTTTACATATACTAGAAGGGCCTATTTGATGGTAATAACAGGTCCATTATAAAGACTTCATCTTTATAAAAAAAAAACTGATCTCTAACTATTGGAATAAGAATAGCAAACTACATAAGTCCAATTGATTGAACGCAAAATTTACCTTCAGAGGGAGTCCAATGAGCAGAGGAAGTAAATCTGAGGCTTGCACCACATGACTCGCATTCAATCTTATCAACATCCACATTTATCCAGCCCCTTCTAGCACAAGCCAAAGACCCTGCAGCCTGCCAAAACCACTTCAAAAGCATGATTCTAGCAAGTAGCAAAAATATCTAGTTAAACATGAAAAGAGCTGATTAAGTGGAAGTTATGTGTGTAATCTGACTTAGGTGTGTGAACATGGTGATTATCCTAGAATAGATATACTCTTGATGAATCTATGTGAAATCGTGTATCGATGTGGGTGTGCGTTTCACAGAAAGAGAGATCATGTGTAACCCTCATGTCAGGTGTTCTGATGCAAACTGTAAAGTAATAAAATTAACCTCAGATAAATTCAGAAATTATTAAGACGTACTAAATTAATTAATTAATGAATGAATTAGTAAATAAATAAATAGACTAGAAATGTGCAGTAAGCCGGTAATAGGCAGTCAACTTGAAGCATAATGCTAAAAAAAGTTCCATCAACCTAAATGAGATATTCAAAACCAACTTGTAACAGTCCTAAGAGCTAGTCCTACTCAAGTCTTTTATCAAACAATAACAATTTAAAGCTTCTTTACACACACTATTCCCAAATGGTGAATAAATGTCATTGAAGACATTAGGGTGTGCTATAAGTATGAGGGACAAAAACTCTTGAGTAATTTTAATGTTCATGACTATAGTAAATGGAGGGACATATTTAAACCTTAGGCTTTCCAAACCAGTCTGTCGGTTTGAATGTTGAGAGTCGTCTTAGTAGATCACCCCTTTCCCAGGGTCTACATGAGGGCTGTGATGATCCAAGAGCAGAACCACCAGCACTGGCACTCAAAGAAGTCCCTATGGGCAATGAACCAGCACGGGAAAAGGAACCTGCTTTTGATCCATGTGCTGCCCAATCTGTGCTGCCAACATTCATTGGAACAGCAGGAGAAGATGCCCCTGCAGAGCTGAAAAGGAAGTAATGCACTACATTTAGCTACTTGTCACTTAATTTGTTAAAATAACTGGGAGGGTGTAGCAGCCAAACAACATTGACATATTATTCTCTAACTATCCTGTCCTGACCTCACTTTTTTTTCAATGCCCACAGCCTTATAATCAATTTATTACTATAAAAACATAAGAGATTAAAAATATCAAAATCAGCTCATCTCTATGGAAAATAAAAAGAGCAGGAAGCTGCAGGGAGCCAGGGACCAATGACCTTTTAGAACCTCAGCTTGACAGATTTCCAGTAAAAAATACTATTTCCCACTTTTCTAATACTTTCCTACCTCAACTGTCTTGTTTATCCCACTTTCCTGATACTCTCCTACCTCATTTCTCTAGTTTATAAATTACTCGTATATGTTTGTGGCTAGCGGAGTCCAGCTATTTTACTGAAAGAATTCATTTTGAAAAGGATGATATAATAATATTAAGATTAAATATATAATGATCCGACACTCGGCCACTGTAAACAAATTGGGAAACAAAATGAAGCACCCGGAAATCAAAGAACTCAAAGGGTTGCCGCAGAAAAAGCATAACAGAAAAGATTCCAAACCATTTGACCAAGAATTCGTTAAGGAATATCACATCCCTAAAATGGCATCAAATGCAACACATAATCCGTAAATGAAATTGTGAGCTAGGGTTTTATAGTTCCGATGGGGATGGGGCTTACCTAGCAGCGGGAGTGGATATAGGCGGAGGAGAGGAAGACTTGGGCGGAACAAAAGGATCTGCGGAGGAGCTTATGGCTTCTTCCTTCATCGTTCTCATCTCCTTTAGCTCGAGGCTCGACTGTTACGGTGACTGCTCGCTGGAATTGGATGGAGGTATTTCTATATTTGCACCCATTTGGTCAAATGATTTGTGCTTTCAAGAAATGAAAAGTGGCTTATGGACAGTCAAATCAATAAAAAATGGTTTATACAATTAATATTGAATTGATAAAGTAAGAATAGAGTAAGAATGATTTAGAGTCACACAAAATTTGCCAAATTTGATATGGAACAATCTTAGTGGGACGGATACATAAGATAAAATGGGATAATCGTAGCGGGACGGAGGTAGTACTATCTAATAAACTAGCCATGACATACTCAAAATTGCTAGTCATATACAGAGTAATAAACTAGTCGTGACATTTCATGACTTTTCAAATTTTATTACCACCTTCATTCCAAATTATTTTGCAAAGTCAACATTTTTTTGTGAGTCAATGTTAAAGTTAAATCATCTCTATTGATAATTAATTTCAATTTTAATAATTAAAATTTATGTATTCGAAAACTACATTAAAATTTTTATAAAGTTGCAAAATCTAAATTAAAATTTAATTAAGAATTGATATCTTAATTAAATGAATAAAATGAGTTTGTTTGACCCAAAAAGTCAATTTTTGCAATTCAATTTGGGACCGAAGGAGTACATTTTATCACATTTTGCTCATATACAACAATAGTCATTTTCTGTAATGTAATTTCAATATAGTGATATTTACGAAAAAATATTTTCATTTACGTCATCCGCCCCTCAAGACTTTGTCAAATTTTCCTTTTTATCGTCTCTAAACCTTTATTCATTTTCATTTAAAGTACTCTTAATAAATAAGTGGTTAAAGTTATTTTAATCTCTTCTGCACAAATCTTAATCACACCATTTTTATTTTATCATTTCACGTGCAAGTCACTTCTAGCCAAGTTTTATGGGATGGGGGAGTATTATTTTTATATATGATTTATGTTGTAAAATCCTGGAAATGACAAGTGTGAATTGTTCATCCTTTTCATCAATCCAGAAATTATGTTTAATCCTTGTAACCTAGTTAGAACAGATGGCTCAAATTGTTATTGCCACCAAATCTGTAGATTCATCCCTTAAGTGACTAATCATCAAGTTCAAACAGTATAAATAGGAGCTTGATGAGGCATTATAAATTCACTCAGAAATTCAGAAAATATTCAGATACTAAGAAGAATTAATTTAGAGTTTTTTATCTATATATCTATCTCTTAAATTTGATCTTCATCTTCTTCATTTTACAACACGTTATCAGCACGAATCTGCTCAAAATTCTCAGCAATCTCTATCTCCTGCAGGTATTAGCATTAATATTTATTATCTGTTAGTATCCAAAACATGAAACTATGTTCAATTCTTGTAAAGAACTAAATTTATTCATTTCGAATATTAAAAGAATTATAAACATACCTTGGTGAAACGATTTCTGCGCTCACTTGTAGTACGTAAGGAGATGTTGGCTTAAAACAGATACTTAATTAGCTTGGTAATATTATTACTACGTATTAGATTTAAAAGATTGAAAAAGAAATAAAGATATAAGAGCAAGATAGAAGGAAGATAGACATATAAGGATAAGATGGATATACAAGATACCAATATGGCTAGAAATTGAAGTAATAAATTTAAGATACCTAGCATCCTTCATATATTAGACATGCAAATCACGGGTCTTGTTGCAGTCAGCACCCTTCACGGGTTTTGTTTTATATTGCATGCATAGTTAATATATTCTAGTCAAACCAATGTGTTATTAAAAGATAAATGTAAGAAGTGAATGCTATGGTAATAAGCCACGTAACAACCAACCAGTTTGAGATAAGGATTGTTATTTAATATTTCAATTGCTATACAGTAGTTTTTGTTTTTATCTGTCAAAACAAAAGAAGATAAAGTAAAATACAATTTTACTAGTGTACCTGCTCTTGAGTTCACCAAAGAGCTTTTAATTTTCTTCTGTTATCATTTACGGAGTATATTTCATTTTGTTTAAAGAGTTATAATTTAACATATATGATGATTTTAATAACATGTGACCAATTATAAGTAGAAGTCATTTATACAATTCCCGATATCACTATTGAATATGGTACGTAGTATAATTTGAAGAAGCCAATGAATTTTGTTCGTTCTAATTATTGTACACATATAATCATAAAATAGATCATTAAATAATATTTAAATATTAGTGTTATTACTTAATAATACTAATGTGGTTATACCAATATTTCAAATAATAATATGGTTACAATCCATATTTCTAATTAAGTTTAAATAATAATTTTGTAGTACCATGGCAAATATTAGCAAACGAGAATTCGACGTTCTTGACCTGTCTGGTCAAAAATACCTGGAATGGAAAGTTGATGCTCTAGCACATTTAAAGGCTAATGGTCTCGAAGACACTATTGAGGCTATTAATCAATCATCTTCCCAGGATAAAGCCAAAGCTGTAATTTTTCTCCGTCACCATCTCCATGAAAGTCTCAAATCTGAATATTTTTTGGTTGATGACCCAAAAGAATTATGGGACAATTTACCGGAGAGGTATGGCCACCAACAAAAGGTTCTTTTACCTAAAGCTCAGTATGACTGGATCAATTTAAGATTTCAGGATTTTAAATCAATCAGTGACTATAATTCCGCCATGTTCCAAATAACATCTAAGTTAAAGTTATGTGGACAAAAAGTCACTGATGCTGATATGTTGGAGAAAAAACCTTTTCCACTATGCATATCTCTAACATGCTGCTTCAACAGTAATATAGAGAAAAAGGTTTTAAAAAATACTCCGACTTAATATAAGTTTTACTTGTAGCTGAGCAAAATAATGACCTTTTAATGAAAAACCACAATCTGAGACCCACTGGGTCTAGTCCTTCTATTTATGGTCCATCCGGCCATAATTTAGCCACCGAATCAAATGCAACACACAGTGGCAGTAGAAGGCATTTTAAATGTGGTCATTATAGTGGTCATAAAAAAAAGCCACATCGAGGATATAAACAGGTTGACAGACCAAATTATAAGGGAAAGGGCAAACAAAAAGCCCATCAAATAAATCGCCCTACAAAAACCTCGGTAAAAACGACTTGTTATAAATGTGGCATGACGGGGCATTGGGCTAACAAATGCCGTACTGCGAAACATCTGGTGGAGTTATTTCAAGCGTCCATGAATTTAAACAAAGGCAAAAATATGGAAGTTAATTATGTCAATGACACAACTCCACCTCTGCCAAAATTTGATGTGTCCAACTTTTTCGCGGATGATGCCATTATGGACGATGCTTTTGCTATAAACCAAAATGTTACTAAATAAAATAGTAGACTCCTGATGTTGTACAATACTAGTTTTATGTACTTTTTCTTTCTTCCCCTTTTTATTTTTTTTTTAAATAAATATGTATAATGTATGTACTCTTATGTTAAATAAAATGCATAATTTGTGATCAAGCTAATGTTTATTTATATATATTGAAGATATGGATAATTCAAATGATAAAGAGCTATGTCTGATAGACAGTGCCACAACGCACACCATTTTGAGAAATAAAATATATTTTTCTCAAATGACTTTAGTTGAAGCTGAAGTCAATACAATATCAGGTGTTGCGAAGCTCATTGAAGGCTCTGGGAAAGCATATGTGATGCTACCTAATGGGACAAAAATAATTATAAATGACGCTTTATACTCCATCAAATCGCGGAGAAATTTATTGAGCTTTAAAGATATGCGTCAAAATGGTTATCACATAGAAACCATGAATGAAAACCAAAAGGAATATCTTTGTCTCACGACAACTAAATCTGGCGCTAAATATTTTTGTGATAAAATGCCAGCATATTCCTCAGGACTATATTTCACATATATTAGTCCATTCGAAATAAACTTGGTTTCTAACACAAAGTTAGATGATCGGAAAACATTCATGTTGTGGCATGACCGTTTAGGTCACTCAGGCCAAGTAATGATGCATAAAATCATTAAGACTTCACTTGCACACCCAATAAAGAATATCAGGGTTCCAGTATCAAGTGATTTTCCTTGTAAGGCCTGTTCTCTTGGCAAAATGATCATCAGGCCTTCAATGAACAAAATTGCAACTGAATCACCTGCATTTTTAGAAAGGATTCAAGGAGATATTTGTGGGCCGATAGCCCCACCATGTGGACCATTTCGATATTTTATGGTGTTGATTGATGCTTCAACACGTTGGTCACATGTTAGTCTTTTATCGACTAGAAATTTAGCATTTGCTAAACTCCTTGCTCAAATCATACGATTAAGAGCTCATTTTCCGGATCATTCTATAAAGAGAATCCGACTTGACAATGCAGGAGAATTTACATCCCAATCATTTAACGACTATTGTATGTCGATTGGGATTGATGTGGAGCATCGTGTTGCTCATGTCCATACACAAAATGGTCTTGCTGAATCTTTCATTAAACGATTACAATTAATCGCTAGACCATTATTAATGAAGTGTTATTTACCTTCATCAGCTTGGGGACATGCTATTTTACATGCAGCAAATTTAATTCGGCTTAGACCGACTGCATATCATAAATATTCTCCAATGCAATTAGTTACTGGACAAGAGCCAAACTTAGCACACATTAAAATATTTGGTTGTGCTGTTTATGTTCCGATTGCTCCACCTTATCGTACAAAAATGGGTCCTCAAAGAAGGTTGGAAATTTATGTTGGATTTGAATCTCCCTCAATAATCAAATATCTTGAACCGATGACTGGTGACTTATTCACCGCACGGTTCGCTGACTGTCATTTCAATGAGACAGTATTCCCAACCTTAGGGGGGGAAACTATAAATCGGACCCAAGTACGAAAGAAATAACATGGAATGCAACAGGATTATCACATCTTGACTCAAAATCAAATATATGTGAGCAAGAGGTGCAAAAGATAATCCATTTACAAAATGTTGCAAATCAGTTGCCTGATGCATTCACAGACACAAAGAAAGTGACAAAGTCACATATTCCTTCCATGAATGCCCCTGCCAGAATCGAAA